ATCTACCTATAATTATATTACCTGACTTTACTTTGCGGTTTAAATGGAATCCTTTCAGTCTAGTTGCTTCAGCATCAGAAACTGCAGTCCAAACTCTATATCAATCTAATGACCTACCTGCTGGGAGGTACAGGCCCTGAAATTACATGGTACTGCAAAGAGACCACAGAGATTTCTTTTATGTTGCTTTTCTGTTGCCCTGTACTCTACTAGGGTAGATATTATGTTCGGAAGGAAATGGTGTTTCCCTGCAGGGAGGTATTGCATGTCACATATGGGAATCCCAGTATTCAACCAGGGCCAGAAGGTTCCAATGCAAGAGGGGGCACTGATTACAATAAGCAAGAGCTCCTCACTCATTACACTCACAAGAATGGTTCAGCAACTTCACTGGGTATAAAAAGAAGTGGAGTCTGTGGCATATTGAGGTCTGAGGGATTTGGAAAAATCTGAATTCTGGAGGTCATTTATCCTGACATGAGAAACCAAAGTACATTTGAAATCAGGGACTTTTTTTCTCTTATGCTGATGCTATTACAAATCATCCTGCTACCTCTACTTTCCAGAATGAAGTCAGACTTTGTTCTGAAAAATGTACAGCCCAATGTATAAACCGGACAGACAGGTCTGCATGGGTTCTGATGGAAAATTTGCTGGAAAAGCTCACTAAAAAAGCCAAGCCTGACCCAAGATACCTAAAAACTAGTGGGACCTTTTCAAGGGTTACTTAAGATGATAGGCTCTGAGTATATACCTAGCAACGCATGTTAAGTACTGGAGAAGAGTCATCATTCTTGAGAAGGTCTTTAAAGGAGTGGCTTTCAAAGAGGGGTCAAAAGAGACATATTGGAAAATGCTGGTAGGAGGTGAAGGAAAGGGTGGCGGCAGAGGGAAGCAGAGGTTCCAAAAAGTTCCCAAGTTACTGCTGCACCACTCCTAAGAAACATGTTTTTATATGCTGCTCACCTCCAAATGGCTGTCAAACATAAGAATTCCCTGCAGCAGTAGTTCTAATGTCCTCCTCAGACCAGTAGCAACAGCACTGCCTTAGAACTTGTTAAAAATGCAAATTCTGGGGCCCCACCCCAAACCATGAAATCAGAAACTCAGGGTGGAACCCAGCAACCTGTATTCTAACAAGCTCTGCCAGTGGATTCGATGCACACTAAAGTTTCAGAACTCCTGCACTAACCCACATTCGAATGGGCTCTACAAGGCAGCAAAGGACATTGTTATCCTTACAATACCCAGCTGACTCAGGGCAAGGAAGATTTCCCATAATTAAATTTAACCTGTGTCGTGTTTTCCATTGCTACCTAGATTTTGTTTGTTTGTTTTTTTAACCGAGCTTTCCTCCTCATCTTTTGCTTTTTCCCTTCCACTTTTGTTTATAAATGATGACCTTTTCAATGGCTCCTTGGCTGATGGTTTGTGTGGGCAGCATCAGAGTGGCATCTCCTGAGTGGACGCCTGCATCTTCAACATGTTCAGAGATGGCATGAGAGATAACCTGGCCAAAAAAAGATTTTAAAAAGAGTTGTCAGACACCTACTTCAATGAAGTTACTCCCTCACCCTCCCCTTCATCCTACCAGATGCCGCAAGCATGGACCAGTCCCTTTGCTACATTCCTGATGAGAGCCATAGAAAGAGCCGCACATAGAGCTCCCAGACCTCCCTGTGCAGGGACAGATTGCCTCTAGGGGCAGCTGAGGGTAGCTCATAGGTGTGGATTTAAATAATAGGAAAAGAATAAAACTAAACCAATTTATATTACTTTTAAAAACAGAGTAGGAAATCACAGCATTTGGGAGGCATTGCAGGTGTTTTTATCTTTTAGACACTGGAAAAGAAAAGATGATGGGAGAAGTGTGAATATCTGGCTGGGTAAATGGTATAACTTAGGGGGAATAGAAAGAAGACGTGAGCACCTGATCAAGAGATCTTTAAATTGAAGTTTGAGAGAGTAAGGAGGCAAGAGGAAAATATTCTTATCCTCCTTTAGAAGTAAGGAAACGAAAGCAATGCAAGAATAAATAACCCACGTGACCAGTATGTGACTGAGTTAGTATTTTGGACATTATCTGTCAGATTCCAAAATCTATGGTTTCAATCACTATAACCTACATGTTTATAATATGTGTGTCCTTGGGAAATGATGAAGCTGAGAGAGAGGGAGAATAACTGGGCGTCTGTAAAAGACTTAAACAAATTATGTAGAAGATTTGCTTATCGGATTTATAAATGACTTAAAACAGAGTGACATTTGAGTCTCCATCCTTCTGCTGTTACTGATGAGCTCTGTGACCTGGGCAAGGTGCTTTACCTGCTTAGCATTTGTTTCTGATAAGAAGGGAATAACAATGGCTACTGTCTCAGAGAGTGTGCCTCACTGAGTGTTTATAAGGGTAAAAGAGAACATATCAAGTATCTAGTATGGTACTTGATGTATCATAAGAGCTCTTTTTTATTTTTGTACAGTGCCTAGAAAAAGAGAGGCAATCATCCCACTGAGCTCCAGAATAGTCATAATATATCTGAAATTCTATGCCCATTTCTGAATACGACAGTTTAAAAACTACCTGAATAACCTGGAACACTTCCAAAAGGGAGCACACAGGATGATGTGCAATGGTCAGTGTCTGAGAGCAGCCGAGGGCAAGCGCATATTCTGGCAAGCTAGAGCCACATCAGGCCCACAGACCAGCATTACTCCACAGCACAATATCCGAAAACTTACGAATATCTCTAGACCAGTCTTACATTCTCAACTTCTGTATAGGTACAATCACATTCCTCTTATTTTATATCTCAGTCTTTAAATACTTAAAATGTTGAAAGAGGAGAGAGATTAAACTTATGCTCTGAAACTCAGGAAGGTGGCAGGCTGAGAGTTCCAGGGAAGGAAA